GCTTCACACTGAGGGTTCTTCAAATTCAGACTCGGCAAAAGTCTATTGGGCCAGAACCAGATAAAATGTGATTTGAGGTTTATCATATTTTGCCTCCAAGGACCTGTGTCATGAATGCTATCTCCCCATGCATTAATTCTCCTTAGAGTCATGAGGATTGCTTTTTTTTTTTTTTCCGAAATGGCAGCATCACACTGTCTTTGATTTAAAGGTTAAGGATGTGTTTTCTAACCGCTAGTCTGCAAAGCCCAGACAGTTTCATTTGGTGGAATCCTAGCAAATCCCCCTACACAAGAGTGAAAATAGTCTCACGGGTCCTTGAGTGACCGTACTTGGTGGTCTGCTGTGAGGCAGGCATTCTGTATATATTTTGTAATCACTTTCTCTTTTCTCCTCCTCCTTTCTTTACCCCCAAAAAGAAAGCTGGCACTGGGCCTGTTCCACTTTTAGTGACTTCTCAAGTTATTCAGAGATAGATTAGTAAGCCATCTTGTGACATTCCTCTGTCCTTCCCCACTGCCCTCTGGCCATTTCACTGCTCCTGTGCATCCAATTAACAGGGTGGGCAGAGGGAATAAAAGGATGTGACCTCAACGTGAGAAGATTCTGCTTCTCATTAGAGGTCCTGTTAAAAGATCTGGTGGAAAAAACAAGTTATCATAGCACCACTGATCAGCCATGAGGCTTGAAAAATGTCATTTGCTCGCAGTTTCTACACCATCATCCAAAAACATTAACATCCAAAGTACAATTGAACACGCGGCTGACCGATGAGCAATACGTTTTCTCCAGCAGTACTTCAAAGAAATATGCTATTATGAGAAACTATTAATAAAGTGTAATTTATCTGCTCCATTTCATCTTGGAATCCTTTCTTCCATTCTGGCCACTTCCCTTCTCCTCACCCTTTGTATCTCATGCACTTTATCCAGCATCTGTTCCCACAGCAACTTGGTCAAGCTGCTGTGTTTTCACAAGGGTTTCTGGAATATGATCATCATGAAGTCTTAAAGAAGAATAACCTAATAGTAGAATTTCAGGTACCGAGCCGAAAGACAGGAATCTTCCATAATATCACCCAAATTCTCTTTTGAGACCAACTCTCAAAATCCTTCGATGCTTATTCATATCAATTCTATTAGGCAAGATTTTAAGGTCACGTATACTATGCAAGGGCTTTCCCTAGTAGCTCAGCTGGTAAAGAACTCGCCTACAATGCAGGAGACCCTGGTTCAATTCCTGGGTTGGGAAAATCTGGAGAAAGGCATGCCAACCCACTCCAGTATTCTTGCCTGGAGAACCCTCATGGATAGAGGAGCCTGGTGGGCTACAGTCCATGGGGTTGCAAAGAGTCAGACATGACTTAATGACTAAGCACAGCACAAGATACCATCCAAAGAAAAAGTTCGTGTCATTCATTCAGGGCAAATTTCTTGATTTTCCCAGAAGTAGATAGTACTATCTAGGTATATCTAACTGTATCATATCATATCTAACTATATCATAAAAATACAAAATGCAAAAATTTAAGTATGGGTGAGTCTTTCTAGCTGAAGCAGTTAGTTTCTGATATTACTTCATTTGTTGAGTTCTCAGCAAAGGTCCCTACCCTCTACTCCTATGTGATCAATTCTTTATTAGTCCCACCCACCTATGAATCAGCTGTGGCCAAGAGCACTTAAGTGGGGAATTACTGCCGCTGGATTTGTGGAATACAAGCGCAACCTCAGCTCTGAAAACGCAGTAAGTATGGACTCTGAGCAATAGTTTGCTCACAGAATCTGTAATGGCAGCTGTTAACTATGACATTCTTTGCTGGGCTGTGTGGCTTATTTATCCTGATCTATATGCCAGGCAAGTTGCAAGGCCACCTGCGTTGCTGTCTTTCAGCATGCCCCTCCCCACCCCCACCGACATGTCTCACAGTCTAAGCCTTTAACTTACTAGTTCATGTACCTTCTTTCCTATTCAGATCTAAGTAGACACTTGTTTGACAAAAAGGCAAATTATCATCAGTGACATTTGCATTTACCAAAAGGAGAATGTTTTCACTGGCAACATGATAACAGCCACTGTTTCTCTCCACTCCGTTTGAAATGCTTCCTTTATGGTTTGAGGGCTGTTGCTTTACTAGCTTTTCACTTTTGGAAATTGAAAGGAAGGGGGAGAGTCAGGTCAAGATGCTGTCACAAGATAGAGGTAGGCGAATTCCCTAATAGAAGAGTGACTCTGTGATCATCTTTTGTGATACCAGGGCTGATGAAATCTCAAGCTACGGAACAGCTTTCTTACCCAATAATATTGGCACGTCGACAATGTCAGATTTCTGTGTTTTAACACACATTAAGATCACACTAGCAACTGATGATTATGTAATGCAATAAGGACTGTATTATTTGTAACCCTAAGAGAACAAGATCAGCGATTTCAGATTACGCAATAAGAAGTTGTAAAAAAATGACATCTGAAAATATCCTTCACCTCTGTCACATGTTTCTTCCCATGCTGGAGAAGATATATATATGTGTGTGTGTATACACGTGTGCACATGTGTGTATATACACATATATTCACACACACATATATACACACACATGTACATATATATATTCAGGCTTCCCTGGAGACTCAAATGGTGGTAAAGAATCCACCTGCAATGCAGGAGACCTGGTTTTGATCCCTGGGTAGGGAAGATCCCCTGGAGAAGGAAATGGCAACCCACTCTAGTATTCTTGTCTAGAGAATTCCATGGAGACAAGAGCCTGGTGTGTTATATGGTCTGTGGGGTTGCAAAGAGTTGGACATGACTGAATGACTAACACTTACTTACTTACTAAAATTGACTGAAAATGGAGGTTTTCTTGAAACTATGTTAGAGAATTTCCATGGAGTAGGTTGTTTGAATTTTGGATGTTAAGGATATTTAGGCTTTCCTAGAGAAGGGGTTTCAAGGAGAAACAGAAGCAAACAAAAACAAATTGGCACATCAAATGTTCTTGTGTTTTGACCCTGACATTGGAGGGGGCAGCGTGCCCGAGTAGCTGTTTACTGCTCATTATAGCCCAGACACAAAAGGATGTCCACTTTAGTCTCCCAGTTTAAGATGCATTTTCCCTGCTGTACAAGGTCAGAAACTGATGACTCTGGAGGCAGTCCTTGTAGTTCTCATGTGTTTACTCTGAAGTGGAGAAAAAAATGAACAAGGCAGGGACATGCATGCGCTCATTTAGCAAATTAATGATAGCATCCATGGGCATGTAGATATTTTGTGGCAATTATTTTCTTGTAAATAGTGAATTAAAAATCATAAACTCTTATTGCCAGAATGGGTTAGAGAGTTAATGTAGTTTGAATTCTATGAATTGCATCTGTAGAAAAAGTATTATAGGGGTGGTCAGTGATGTGTGGGGGCAGACTTGTATTAGCTGTAGAACCAGGATTGCTATACAGAACTTTTGAGTTCCTGCCCAAAGTTCCTTTAGCTTTTTTTAGACCACATTCTATTCTCTGGGTAAGTTTTTCATTCTTGTCCCCATGTTGATCAGAAAGTGAAACTGTCATAGTCATGGTGTTCATGAGTTATACATGACACATCTCATCCTTTATCAAAGTTGCTGGGAAAAATTCAACCTAATTTTTTTTCTCCTGTACATGCATACATTTTTGTATTCTCTCATTTTCAATATCTGCCTTTTCAAGAATGTGCTCTTTTCGGGCCTGTCTCTGTCAATTCCATTTTCTCTTGACTTTCCTCTCTGACTGCTCTCTACTTGGCCCCTTCACTCTTGGATTCTGGATCCCTTTGAAACAGGGAATGGCTCTCTATCCCTTCTTGGCAGACATCTACCTGCCTTTCAGAGAAGAGAGAGGCAGGTGAGATGTCTGTAAAAGAACAAAGAACAAAAAATGGAAATGACGGCGTAAGCCAAACAGTGAGAAAAACAAGGCTTTGTCTCCAAAGTTGGTGGGGGGCGGGAAACAAAGGAATGGGAAAACAAATGGGCGCTGGCAAAACTTGTTCTCTTTTCATCCTGGGGCCTGCGAGACAGGATATGCAACTCGTCAATGCCTTTTCCCTACCATTCCTCAAGCTGAGCCCAAAGCCGCCGCCTCATCAGTGTTGCTCTGAATAGACTCACCCCTGCTTTTTCTCATCAAGTAAGACAGTCCATTAATGAATCTCTGTAGTCTACTTTCAACTCAACCACAACATCAGCACAGTGACGATTAATGGTTGGTTTAAGCAGCAGACTCACAGGTGGGGCCTACGTAATCTTTTGCTTGCTTTAAAGTCCTCTGCCTTCAGACCTGGGAATTATCATCTCAAACATCCTTTTTTCTATTCGGGCACCCAGTTCTTCAGGCTGAGCATATCCTTTGGTATTGCTTAGTTGCTAAGTCATGCCTGGCTCTTTTGCAACCCATGGACACAGCCTGCCAGGCTCCTCTGTCCATGGGATTTCCCAGACAAGAATACTGGAGTGGATTGCCATTTCCTTCTCCAGGGGATCTTCCTGACCCCAGGGATTGAACTCGGGTCTCCTGCATTGGCAGGCAGATTCTTTACCACTGAGCCTCCAGGGAAGCCTGAGATATCCTTATTAGGAGTTAAATAATGCTTAAGGTTACCCTAGCGGGGAGAGGACGTGTGAGAAACCTGCTTCTCTGCTTCTTTTCAAGACTCTCAGATCCCTCAGCAGTACCAAGATGACACAGTCTAAACCCCACTACGGCCGCCCAGTTAGCGAACTTGTAGATGGGATCAGAACGAAAGTAAGACTCCCATTATATCCCCAAAGGTGGAGTGTGGTGGCAGGAAAGGTCACACATACTTGTCCTATGTTTGCTCTTCTCCCACTTCCTTGGTCAGACATCACATGAAATATGGCCAGAGGAATCCATACAGATATCAGGGCCTGGAAACTACATGGATATACCCAACCCAGTCTATTTTTCAAGCTCATTTAGTAGAATCCTCTTTTAGCGCTTCCCCCAATTACCTGTTGATGCTGTTTTTCTGTGCTAACATCTGCCAGTCCTTGCCTTTAGCATTGGGGGTGTCAAATGTAGCACAAATCCTCTGTCTGATGGAGTAGGGAATTTTGAAGGCTTTGGGGCCAGTCTGTGCAGGAAAAGTGCTGTCCTCTTGTGCAAAGAAAGTGATGGTCTCTCTTTCACTCTATTAAACAAAACAAAGAAAACAGGATCAGAGCTAAGTAGCAGCATTACTGGTCAACACTCTTGTTTTTTTGAGAAACGCTGTGTTAACACACATGTAAAAAATGCTTGCCCGTTGTGATGGAGTCTATAAAATATATGGACAAGCTCTCTCTCTTCTAACATAGTAAATAACGTCTCTAGTAGCTTAAAATCGTTGGCTGGTGATTTACAGCAGCCTCTTCCACTCAGGGGAGTCACAACCTTCAGCTTCCTATATCCAAGGAGGTCTCAGCTGAGAGCAGAATTAGATTTTTAAAAATATTCTCAATGTAAAAAAAAAAAATCTAGAATCAGTCGGAAGAAGGTACCCGGTGACAGATTTCAGTTCATTGTGAGGAGACCTTCTGAGAGTCAGAGCTGATCAGAGAAGAATGGGTTGATCAAAGGAGCTGGCTGGGAAGCCACAAGTCAGGAAAGCTACAAAGGGGAACTGATTGTATGTTGATCATTTTCAAGTTTGTGTTTCTCCCAATCCTAACGTGTGATTCTATAGTAAATGTTTTGGTCTTGTTTCAGAACGAAATCGCTTTGGTAAAATAGGAGGCAGCCATGAGTCAGTGATGAGATGTGCATTAGCTGGGGGGTGGTCCAGGGTGCAGAGCTCCCGCTTGCAGGAATGCCCACGCTTCTGACTTAAACCTGTCCCGGGAGGAGTTGCTATTTCAGTGCATCACGGCAGTTAGTTCATCATATCCAATGTGACATTACACATCTATCCATCACATTGGAATAGTTGCTGAAAGTTTTATATGGATTAACAGAAGTTTAAGGCCTGAAAAGTATTTTGAATCACCCCCATGATTATGATGGATTACAAGACAAAGGGAATTCTTCAGATGTGACTAATGTCCCTAACCAGTTGACTGTGAATTGACTAAGAGATTTTCCTGGGTGGACCTGACCTAATCAAGTAGCTCTTAAGAGAGAAAAGATACAGCTCTTATCTGGAAGGTATCTCTCCTGCTGGCTTGGAAGAAAGCAAACAGCCATGCCGTGAACTGCATATGGTTGGGAGTTGGGGCTGGGGATATGTGGCTAGGACCTGAGAGTGTTCCCTAGGAGCTGTGAGTGAACCATGTCTAACAGCCAGCAATAAAAGGGGGACTTCAGTCCTACAGCCCAAAGGACCAGAATTTGTCAACAACCCTAATAAACTTAGAAAAAAACCCTTTAAGCTCTAGATGAGAATATGTTCCCACTACCACCTTGACCTCAGCCTTGTGAGATCCTGATCAGAGAAACCAGTTAGGCCATGCCTAGACTTCTGCCCTACAAAAAATGTTGGGCAATAAATGGGTGTTTTGGTTTTTTTTTCTGATAATGTGTGGTAATTTGTTATGCAATGAAAGAAAACTAATACAAAGGGAAATGAAAACACAAATCTGAGGTTGGGTAAAGTGGCTAGTTAGCACTGTTTAAACCCCAAGAAACTCTCCTTTGCGTTAGGAACTTGTCAGCTTGTGCTGTCTTTTCATGCCCTTCCTGAACTGCCCGTGACCTCCCCCTGACGCTTTTTCTGACCCTTACACATCTTCCTACTGTGGACACCACAGCCACGGTAGCACTTCCCTGCTGGTGTCCAGGCTCACCCAGCTATATGACTTCAGACTTGGTGAGTTTTATATCTTCAAAAATCTGCTAATTGAGGAAGCTTGTTCATGCAAAGGTCTTATTAAAAAATGATAATATTTTTCTGTTGTTTTTCTGTAACCATTTAGGACAGTGACCTTTGGGGGGCTGTGTTTTGGAATCCAGCGCCTTAACCCAGCATTCCCACAGGGCATCTCAGAAGATGTTCTAAGAAAGAGCAGTCCCATGGTCAAATACATCTGAAAAATGCGACGTTCTTGGAAATTAAAAATACATGTTACCAGATTCAACAGATTCTACTTACTGGTTTTGGTTTTAATCTCTGGACTGTTATAGAACAATGCTCATCCAAATTCTTCCAGTTTTTGAGTTAGCATGAACAGAAAAAGTGTCGCGTTCAGAGTCAAAAAGGTCTTGCTTTGGAGTACAAGTTTCCATTTTACAGCTCAGTGACCTTGGGTGCTACAGGACTTCCCTCAGGCTCAACTTCCTAATCAGTCTTCTGGCATTTCTCTAATAGACTCCACAGAGGTTATAAACTTTGGTAGAAGCCACCCAGATAGATGGTACCAGATCTGAAACTAGAATTCTGATACCTTAACATCTTTACCAGGATTTACTTCACTACACCACCCTGCATCAAAACATCTACCAAGAACCCACAGGGCAGAGTGGTTCAGAAAAATGCTCTGAGTGATATTAGCATTATACTTCAAGAATTAAAAGTAGGACTTTAGGAACTTATTTACAGAACAGAAAAGAGACTCAGAGAATGAATTTACGGTTGCTAGGGGGAACAATGGGGGGGGAAGAGATAGTTAGGGAGTTTGGGATGGACATGTACACACTGCTATATTTAAAATGGATAACCAATAAGGACCTATTGTATAGCACAGGGAACTCTGCTCAATGGGATGTGGCAGCCTGGATGGGAGGGGAGTTTAGGGGAGAATGGATACATGTATATGTATGGCTGAGTTCCTTCATTGTTCACCTGAAATTATCACAACATTGTTAATTGGCTATACTCCCAATATAAAATAGGATGTTTAAATTAAAAGATTTAAAAAATAAAGATTAAAAAAAAGAGTAGGAGGACTTCATGGAGGAGGCATTTGAGTTGATCTTCAAAGATGGGTAGCTGTTGAATGAATAGAAATTGATTGGATAAGTGCTTATTTCTGGCAGAGTAGCCAGTTCCTTTCTGATATATAAGATGTTTATAACATAAACTACCTCAGACTTCTTACTGCATAAAATAGGTTGCAAGATACATCATTTTTTATCATGGTATGTAAAATTTCTTTTAGTGTTTAATAATGCAAATCAAGTGGGAGTAGTTTCTCTAAATATTTCCTGACTTAAGGCAGGAAAATGTCCTTAAAATGATTAGTAAAAACCAGAGGGAGAATAAAAGGAATTCTATATAAGATAATATGGTAGTTGTCATTGTAAAAATGGCACTAAAGAGTGATAACATGTGAAAAGGTGGCTTGTCAATGGAACTGGGTATCCATGCCAGAAAATGACAAGAGACAGATGCCCTCATGGCATCTGTGTTTGGACAAACTCAATCAAGCTCTGTCTTTCCTGCTGGCAGAAGAAAGACCACCTCAATGCATAAAGTCTTCAGAAAAAAATGGACAGAGTGGTATGATTTGAGGGTGAATAAAATATTACATGAGACTTCTAAAAATAAGTGTTTTTTCCTGCTTAGTGCACTTTAATAAATGGGCCCCCGTGTCCCTCAAAGTTTCGAAATGTAAATATTTCCCAAGTGTAAGGATGACACTTTACATAACGTTTATGATGCATTCTAAAAGACATCTGGGCCAACTAAGAAGAATCCGGTGGCTGCATCACATCTTCTGATGGTTTAAATTAAATATGCAGAGGAACAGTAGATTTTCATGCTCTGCACAGAAGAGATAAGCTGCTGCTACCTGGTTAATGCAGGAGCTGTAAATCAGGGAGGAATTCCAAATATTCTGTCGACTTTGTAACAGACAAATCATCCCCCACCACTTTCGCAATAAAGATAAGAGCATTGCTTGAAGGGAAAATTTTAACATGCAAGATTCCCATTTTAAGTTGTTTCTACCAAAAGATAGATTCTTTAATATTGTTACATTAATAAGGAATGAGGAAATAAATGACTTGGGGACTCTTCCCTTCTGTTCAATATTAGCAAAATTATTTCGCTTCAGTTCACGGGGCTTCCCTGGTGGCTCAGATGGTAAAGAATCCACCTGCAATGTGGGAAACCTGGGTTCGATCCCTGGGTCAGGAAGATGCCCTGGAGGAGGGCATGGCAACCCACTCCAGTATTCTTGCCTGGAGAATCCCCATGGACAGAGGAGCCTGGCGGGCTACAGTTCACCGGATTGCAAAGAGTCAGACACGACTGAGTGTCTAAGCACACACAACACACACCAGTTCTTAGATCAGCAATACTGTTGCTTTATTGAGTATCAATTAGTGATCATCACTAGGTAATTTAGTTGGGTTAATTTAAGGAGAACCAACCTGCTTCTAAAGAATGACATAATAATGGCCACTCTAAAGAACAGAAAAGATATATTACCTTAATCACTGAAATACTTTTTAAATTTGAGTGATATGAATGATTATATTTGGAAAGCCATTTAGATAAGAGGCATGAAGTGACATGATGGATGTGGGGCTGAGCAGAAAGAACCAAATGCCTTCAATGAAGATGCTCACCGCATTAATTAATTTAAAATCAATGTTTATATATACATACATACACACGTACACACACACACATACATGTATCTTTTATCTCTCAAGGTTCCATTGTAAATTAGGGTAGGAAGGAGGAGCTCTGAGCCCAGAAATGTGGGAATTTTTGGGGGGGGAGTGGATATTTAAGTACATATTTCAAAGACATCTGTTGGAAGCTTCAAAGTTTTAGTTCTATTATTAATAATAATCAATGATAGCCTATTACTAACTTATTAAAACCACCTAACACAGAATCTTTCTGCATTAGCATAGTGACCATGAAATATGATGCATTTTAATAATTTATCTATTATTGTTGCCTCACTGATTGATATAGACCCATGTCTTGAATATATCCTGCCTCTCTCCAAGTATTCCCACCTTTCACAGAACTTTATCTTTGTTTTCTTTGAAACATCTACCATAAAAACCAAGTCATTTTTAGGGAGAAGAGGATGTTTTTTAATCCCAGATATACCACCAGATGTGTGTTTTCTCAGCATTGAGACAGTCCCAGGGTTGGAAGGACCTTGAGTTGAGTGATCATTCAGTCAAGACATCCTTTTGCAAACAGACCTCTATGTAGGGAATCAATTCTGTTCCTGAAGATCAGCAGGATGAATACTTCATTCCAGCCCAACAAACAAACAGGTGCATTTCATTCTTCTTCAGTCTCGAGGAAAGACTTTTCTAATTTCCATCTACTTTCAGACTTAGGGGAAAAATGCTGATGTTGTGATGTTTGTCACTACTGCCTAAGCCCTTAAAGAGGGGGCTTGTATTCTGGACACGGCCCATGGTTAGGACTAAGAAATTAAACCCCCTTGATTGGGATCCAGATGTAGTATTGAATAGAAAGCCAGGCTTTGATCTTAAAGTCAAGTGTCTCAGCTGGGAACTCTGGCTACTCATCCAGTTCGCTCTATGATCTTGGATAAGAAGGCTGACTTCCTTGAGATTGTTTTAAATTGTGATGGTATAATACTAACCTACAGAATTCTGATGATTATACATGAAAGCATATGAAATAGGACCTGACATATAGTGGGTTTTAAAAATTAATTTTCTTCTGACATTGAAAATGATGGTCAGTGAGATCTGCCTAAGAAATAGTTTGGTAGAAAGAAATGGGGATGAACTGGGCCAAAATTCAGCAGGGACACTTAAAGCTATTAATGAAATGATCCTTATAGGATCAAACAAGTTAATAAAACTTCTAAAGTGCAGCAGCCTACAAATCAGATAGTTGTAGTCCAACACTGATTATCTAGATATTATTCTTATACTTTTGCCTCCTTTTATCAAGAAAGATGGTGATGTCATGTTCTTTAAGGCTTTCCAAAGTGACGGTAAACTTTGTGAAGCATCAGAACTGGAGAGTCAAGAAGATTAGGTTTATTAGCTCATTTTCTCTCCATGAACTTTTAGAGTTTATTTAAGCAAGATGCAAAGGTACTAGGATGTAGTATCAACCTTATTACATTCCTTTTACACAAACATCTTATAATAGCTGAAACTGATTTTCAGTATCTGGGTGCCTTAGAAAGTAAAACACCTTTTAAACCTGGAATTCTTTTGCTGACCTGTTAACAGATATTTATGGAAATTTTCATCAGTGGCACCTTTATGTCCTGCCTTTTCACTTTTCATTCTGAAATGCAGCTCTTCTCAGATTTGCTTTTTATTTTAGAACTAACTCCCATACGATTTGTATTTTACTTTGAAAGGTATTGTGTTAAAAATGCCATGACTGTTCAAAAAAGAGACTCTAAATAAATCTTGCCTGAGGTTTCTTTTTTTTTTTTTGCCTGAGGTTTCTGCATCTACCTTTCCGATCAGGACTACCTTAGTGCATAATGCTAATTGGCAATAACGAATGCAAATATGGTAGAAACATGTCAGTTAAGACAGCTATCAATTTTGAGACACATTCCTTTGGAAAGCCATCCGCACTTCAGAGGAAACTGTTTGGGGGAATTAGCAATGCTCATTTTGCATAAACAATGAAGTGCAGCGAGAATGGAGAGAAGTGGTGATGCTATGCAGACTACATGTTTTGAGAAAAATCAAGCCTGAAATTGAGTGGTATGGATACAAAAGGTGTTAAACCTTCTGCTAAGTGTGAACGAATGAATATGTCTTATTTATATATGCAAACACAAAGGTATAAGTGTATGTATGTATATATGTTGATGTTTAGTCACTAAGTCCTGCCTGACTCTGCAATCCCCTGGACAGTAGCTCACCAGGCTCCTCTGTCCATGGGTTTCCCAGGCAAGAATACTGGAGCGGGTTGCCATTTCCTTCTCCAGGGGATCTTTCTGACCCCAGGGATTGAGCCTGCGTCTCCTGCATTGGCAGGTGGACTCTTTAACACAGCCACCAGGGAAGCTCATATGTATATATACATGTACATGTTCTAAGATGAACAAAACTGTGTGTGTTTCTAAACTAGCCAGGGATTGCGTTGAAATTGCTAAATAAGGCGTCACCAGCTCCTCTGGTTCCACCCCTCAGCTACTCTCCCCTGCTGAAGTAACCATTCAAGGGGAAAGGCCATAGTCTACTCAGTAAGCTGAAGCTCAGAGCCACGGGGCCGTTCAATCATTAGGGCCAGCCAAAGCCGTGGCGGTGCGCACGTTCCTGGGCGACTCCCATTCTAACTCTGCCCTTGAGTAGTCATGTGACCTTGGACAAGGTCTTATCCCTTTTTGCACTATGCCCTTACTTTGGAGAGTGAGATTATTATCCATCCTGTCTCTTATTGCACTGATGAAATCTGGGCTTCATGGAGATGGAGATGTGTAGAACCCTGATCCTGGAGGGTATCAAAAAATTGTAAGACAGTAAGGAAACAAAGCCTTGAAGATGAAATAACACAGAGGGGAAACTGACTCCTGGAAACTCGTCTGAACTGGCAGAAAAGCAGCCCAGTGGTGACCTTGTGTTTTCTTATGGTATGTGTCTCAATTCAAATGAATTTCAGCTGATTCCAGGTCTACCATGAACTGTTTGATTGGTTGTGGTTTTGTGTATAAGACGCCCTGGACCAGTTCCTTCCCCAAAGGTCCCTCCACAGAGCCTACGCTCTGATCAGTTATGTTTCCAGGTCCAGTTCAAATCTTCAGCCTACGAAAAAGTTGATTTTGCTGTTATCAGTAATGAGGGTTAAAAGAGTGAGTGTGTTTTGAATCTCTTTCATGCTATACATATAGCTCAACTAAGATAGGTATATAACTCTTAATGGGCTTTAGAAACGAGGTCAAGTGACCTGGAGACCAAGGACTCACCTCGAGGATTGACGTCTGCACTTGGAGGATCTGTTCATGGCCTTTGAGCTGCCGGATGCAGATTTTGCAGGACAGCTGGGTGGTGGTGGGCGTGTAGCGCTCCAGGGAGAAGGCACAATGCAGGGGCTGCCGGTTACTGCACCACACGCGGGAGAACGGGACTTCCTGCGGGGGAGACAGAGGGGAGAGGAGAGGGCTGGGGTGTGCCGAGCCCAGCTGAGATGAGCAGAGTGCAGGACAGACCTAATCACAGTAATTAGGGTGACCATGATGATGGTGATGGCAGCAGAGATAATTGCCTGAGCGACTCTGGTGGAATTGTTGCAGAAATAATGTCCTAGCATATGCCAGGCAGCACAAAAGTAATTAATGTCAATTCCAATTGATAATATTCGAATTCCAAAACCATGCTGCAAGAACTCAGATTTCACTCGGTGACACACACAAGGACAAAGACCATCAAAAGTTAATCACCATGTTTTTCCATGACAAAAAGATTCTTTAGAAGACTCCTATGGGAGGATTCCTAGTAGACGCCTGCTCTTTGCTACCTAAGCCCAGGGTAGGATGTTATCATCTCATGCACATGAAAATTATGAAGAAGTGACTGGCCAGAACTTATGTCCATACCACAGCCTCATACCGAACTGTATAACCATAATATTGCTATGTATCCAGCATAAAAATTATACCTACTGCAGGATCACACACATACACACACACCGCAGAGAGAGACCAAACACAACAGGTTAGCCCAGAACAATCTAGTTTGTCAATTCCTCATTCACTCAATTCATCCACTCTACCCTTATATGTACAATGCCTTCTAATAACCAGACACTGTACTAGATAAACAGTAAAGGAATAGTAAGAATTTAGGTCTGGTCTCCACTTTAAAGGGACTTACAATCGAGTGGCAAAAGCCATTTCACTAAATGAGGTTGGTGGTGGGGGGGCAGTTATAAAACCTACATTCTCCTTTTCCCCATGACCAGCCAGGGCTGACCACCAATTGTCTCGGGCATGTGGGTTTATATTTATGAAGTGGAGGTCAGTCAGTCACCGATATTCTTCCATCTACCAGAAAGTCTTTCCCTCTTACTGGAATCAGGCTCTGGTTCTTGGCAATGACCTCATATTCCCAGCCTAGAGTAATCTGCATCTCACTTCTTTCTCTTTTCCTTGACTCACTCATTTGCTCTTTACCTGTTGCTACACACAAAACTTCTCCAATATTGACGCTGAAAGGTGGCAAAAGATGGATCAAGTCTGGAACTTTGATTCTCTGAAATGTGACTGGTGATGGTGTCAGCAGGTATTACAAGACTACGAGCCATGTTTAGAATTCAATTTACCCACTTTAAGGAACCAAGAGTTCCCTGGTTATCCCTGAGTTTCAAGCTATACACTTGCAGGTTTCCTCATTTTTCTCTGCAGGAAGTCTCAAAGATCCTGATTTCTGGGTACTGGCTGTGGGGGATCAGCAGGCAGAGATGGAGTTTAGATTGTTGAAGACTTGAGTACAGGAGAGCCAGTTTTGGGAAACACAAGGGAAAGAAATCAGGCATTAACCCCTACCACGCATCCCAGCAAGGGATGCAGGGGTGTTGTTTGATTGATTGTTCTTAAACTTGAACCAAGGGAAAGGCAATGGACTAAGGACTCAGAGAAGGTCTATATGTTGACACTGCAGCATTCACTGACTTTATCTCTGTGCAGAATATGGGCTATTAGGAAGATGGCAATTCTCTCCCATCCTCAGTGTTCCCCTACATAGAAAGAACTAGAAGCCTGAAAACTACATTTCGTGGCCCTCACCAGCATGGCGTTCACATTTCCATTCTGCCAATGAGAAGTACTTGTTTTAAACTTGCAAGGAAGGGAAGGAGCAGAAATGGTTTCTGTTCCTCTGGTGCCAGCAAGCAAACCTCAAGGGTTCAGCAGATTGCATATGTGAGGTGTGCACGGGCTTCTGAGAACTGTCTGCTTCAGGGCTGTGGTGGTTTCCCCAAATCACGGAACTTGCTGATTTCCTCATACCTCTGGGGGCTTTCTCTGACCTTGGCTCTCCCCGGTTTTCCAAAGGTTTTATAAGCACATCAATCCCTTGATTAAAATATTTTTTTCTTGACCCAAACCATTCTCTAATGAAACGCCAGTGGGTTGGAAGTAGTCTTTTGAGAAACTAAGATGAGCTGGGTGTGCTGGAAGGTTCACTAGTGGGTTCCCACAGAGAGGCTGCTGTCCAGGGCAAATGTTGGGAGAAGCATGACGCTAATGGTCACCAAGGAAACCCATGGCTGGGGTATAGCTTGCTCATATACCAGCAAGACAGCAGCACCGGACCAGTGAATGGTACCTCTTTCCCACTTTCTTCCTAAACAGAGACTTACTTATGAGCTCTTCTCTTTCCCTCCTAGCAGTGGAGGGCACTGCTGATTGGTGGTGAAAGTGAAGTTGTTTAGTCGTGTCCAACTCTTTGTGACCCCATGGACTGGAGCCCACCAGGCTTCTCCGTCCATGGGATTTTCCAGGCAACAGTACTGGAGTGGGTTGCCATTTGCTTCTCCAGGGGATCTTCCCAACCCAGGGATCGAACCCGGGTCTCCCGCATTGCAGGCAGACCCTTTACCCTCTGAGCCACCAGGGAAGCCTGATTGGTGGGCCTGCCATCAAACCTGAGAGGAAGTCACTCCCTAAAACACTCAAAAACGACTGTCCACCTGCACCAAGTTCTATCCCAGATACTTCGATACTAGACACGGTCCGCCGTTTCTCCTTGCTGTCTAATCTGACTCACGCTGTGTCCTGGTTCAGTAAGCCAGGGTAACTCTGACTTCCTATCTCAGCCTTCAGCTCTTCTCTCTCCACCAACTGAGCCCTTCAAATCCTCATCTGCTCACGTACGCCCAATTGCCATGTCTCTGGAGGACTCTAGCAGCTGAAGTCCTGGCTTTTATTTCATTATCAGCCACCGTTGACATTATACCCCAATCAATATAACTTTTAGTTGGCCTTTCCTTTCTCAAACGAGTCTACCATTTTTTGGGGGGGAGGCTGGGAGGGGACACCATGCAGCATGTGGACTCTTCCCTGGCCAGGAACCGAACCCATGCCCCTGCCTTGGGAGTGTGGAGTCTTGACCACTGGACCACCAGGGCAGTCCCAAGTCTACCTTTTATGAATGGATTATCGCCATCTCTCTTGCTGTCATTCCCCCATTTTTCTGTCTCCATGTGTGAGCCTCTTCTCTGGTCTCATCATAGCTAACTGGAGTAGCCCGCTCACCAAGCCTCCCGTCTCTTGTCTCTATGACACAGAATTAATGAGAGGACTGGGGCTTGACTGGGGAAGAAGCAGAAAGCAGTTGACTGGTATTTCTCAGGGAAGAGCCTGTAATCACAAGTGGAGTCACTGGTGTCACCACATCAACTGGAAGCTCTGCTTTCATTACATGATCCCTTTGCCTGGGGGACCAGAATGGCCCCAGGATGCCTGCCGTCGTCAACACAGCCCCCTGCCAGGCCTTCAAGGGCTTCTGTCCTCTCACCCCATCCTCCCTCTGTCCAGCCTCAATCTTCTAGCCCTGAAATGCAGTCTTCTCCAGACCAGTGCATTTTTAAAATTTATTGGAGTACAGTTGCAGCTTCCCACTCGCTATCTATTTAATGCATGGTAGTGAATATATGTTACATTTTTATACTCACTCAGTATCATCCCCATTCAGTGAAAATAAGTATAACAGAGGGCTCCATGGTTCTTTGATGCTTTCGCCTAAATAAGGTGTTTCTGCCTAACTATGCTAACTAAAGAGGTCTTTGTTTTCTAAAACTGAAATTTTGAGTCATTATAGTGTAATATAAATGTTTGGACTTCAGAACAAGATAGAGCTGAATTCAAGGTCTAGCTCTTCAACAAGCCTGCAGTGGCTTTGAATCTTTGGTAATACTACCTTCGTTAAAAAAAAGAAAAAAAAATGGATGGCACTGATGATGTGTTGAAAAGTTGTGTCGCTTGCTAAATTTTGTGTATTTCCTCCTGAGAACACTGGAAGATCCCAGTGCAGACATAATCTTTTCTTGCAGAAAGACACGAGAATTGGCAAACAAACAAAAATGCCTCTTGCTTTTCTTTCCACTGCACTGCACACCATCAAAACATTTAAAAAATCTGATTTTAGACTATGTCAAAAGAATATTTTTGTTGTTGTTGACTTGAGTAGCAGCTGCCAACGGTGCTCAACAAAACATTTAAAAATAATAAAAGCACTGCGATTAGTGTGTTTCCAGGGCAATCATCTTTGCTTTCATTTATTCTCCTCCCCTGCCCCCCCCCCCCAAAAAAAAATACACAACAAAACACCAAGATGCTCATTGAGCTGAGAGGAATTCTGGGGAAAGTAATACTAGAGGACAAAGTGTAGCAAAGTTATGGGTGTTTAAAGAATTCCGGAAATGTTTTCTTTTTGAGTCCCATTATAATTAGTCTCCTAGCAGATGGAGAGAATGTAAATCGCATCCTAGCAGGAGACAGACACTGGGTTCTCCAAGATACACAGCATGCTGTAAGACAGCTGCTTTCATCCTACGGAGGTGACAGCCTGGCTTGGTGTTCTGTAGGATTTAAAAAATAAATTAATATTTTATTAGATTCAGCTTTATAATATTTTTACAGCTTCTCTACCCCCACAGTCAGCAAAGAAGAGGGGATATGATGATTCAGTAGCTCTCAGGCCCCAGTAACCTACTGAGAGCAGAGTTACTTCCATGTAGAGGAAGGTTGTTGAGTCTTCTAAGGGGACAACAGCATATCACTTGTTGTGGTAGAGTCTTATGAATAATTGTTTATTTTGGAAGGACTAGCATTGTGGGGCCCTTGCTTTCTTTGAATCAAGGTTAGTGCGTGCTATGGTAACCAGGTCTCTTAAGAACTCCTGTAACCTCACCTGCCCCTCCCTTTCACCAATCCTACCTTGTTTCATAAGCAATAAGGTTCGTACCCTAGCATTTCATAGACTGTCATCCTCCAGAATTGAAACCAGCAAGATTTAAAATCTAGTTGATCCTCCTATAGCTAGGCTCTCATCACATAGCTCTAAACTCAACCTGGACCTCACATTATTCTAAGAATCTTTCTTAGTTGGTGTCTCATAGGGCAGCTATTAATGTTTTATGCACTGGATACCACCCTTCCTGGGAAATTCCACCTTGCCCAGATTGGAAAGAAAAAAGGAAGATTTCTTAGAGAGTCAGCTTTGGGTACCAATTGGAAAATGTCAATTCCTAGATTGCTGCTTTGAAGTTAAAGAAAGGGAGAGAGGAATAAGAAGACGGGGATACTGGGAATACCAATAACTCTAACCCTTCCATCCACTGACCTGGAAGATGATGGGGACATTTACCAGGGGAAGGAGAGACCTGTAAGTGACGTCAGCAGTAGTGGGGTCTTCTGTCTCTGCTGTAGAGCTCTGTGAGTTCTTGTCCACTAAGCCAAATCAAAAGCCTTTCTCTATTATCCACACCCAGTTTGTCAGCACACACGATGCTCTCCATGAGGTTCAAGCAGGCTGAACCCAAAGCCTCCCCAAAGTGTATGCATCTGATACCTGGAGCAGACACAACCTGGCCATTATGACAAGCACAATATGTAGTCACACATACTAGGGGAGTTCAGTGATCACAGGAGTAAAGAAATTGGTTTTAGGGTGGTGAAAAGAAAGGAAGAATAGAGCAGAAAGCCATTTGTGAAAAAGAAAAATGAAGTAGAAATGAAACCTCAGTGGCAAGCCACCTGATGCAGAGAAAATTAAACTGTTTTTCAGCCTTCCAAGACTCTTTCAAATTATGCTCAATTACAGAAGTCAAATATTTATACATGTTCACAACCTCTATGCAATCCAACCCATCCTGACAGTAAAGTTTGTTGGGTTTCCTTGCCAGCCAGCACCCTTTGGCTTTGGCTGGCCCTGCTGAGTCCTCCGGGGTGAGCAGGCATTAGCCTCCTCCAAGTCTTTTCTACCTGAGGCTCTCACTGGAATCCCTGGTGTTGGAATTGTTGTTTAAGTGTTCCTGAGAGGTTATGATGCTTTACCTGATTTTTTTTTAATCTGCAAGCATTAAACTTCATAGTTACTTTGGACTGAGTCACTTGCATTAGATCCAGGGAAGCAATGCCCTTAAATAAAGATTAAAATAGAGGAATTTGCATGACTATCAGGAGTTGTTTTAACAATACCCTGAAGTTCAATTTGGACTGCAAACTTTGAATACTGCTTTCTGGGAAACAGAGACATCTAGGTCTAGAACATCATAAATAATACATTTATTCATAGAAAACCTCTCTCCGTAAGAAAATATGTTAAATATCCAAAAACACTTTTCAGGGCCCTAAGAGAGGTACTTGTTTGAATGCACTAAAACTGTACACAGAGTGGGCAGCTCCTGAGGTAATGACAGGTCTGAAAAGTAAACAGAAAAATATGGCCTTATTTGATTAGAAAATTCTGAATGTTGGAAGTAGAAAGCAGTGATGGTGCAACTTTCTTCTAACTCCCATGGCATGGTCAAGGTTTTTCTCTTTGAGATTTGACTTATTTCCATGCTGACAAGCTGGTATATCTTGTGCATGTTTTTTAAAAAAATGAATGTTGTAAAGATAGAAAGGTTAAAAAAACCCACAGGGCTCTGCAGGTTATACTGATGGGCAGAACAGAGAACTGTGAAAGCCTCCTGTGAGTCCAGATCAGTATCAGTCTCTGAGAAGCTCCAGAGTTAAGGAAATGTCCTGTCTCTTGAAATCCAGAGGACTCTGGCTTAAGAAACAATGATTGACCAGTTGGCTGCTTCTGATGACACTGCTTATCATTGAAAATTTTCATAGAATTCAGTGACAAGGTCACGAGTTGATATCTTTTCATGCTAAGTAATTATTCAAAAATTCCTTAACATGATCCAAAGAGACTCTTAAGTCATCCTGAAATTTTTTTAAGTCTCTAATAATGAGGTATGTGAGTGATGACACATAAATATTTTTACATAAAAATATTCTAAGAGGCATTAATATTTATTTGTTTCTCAATTTGTGATTTCTTCTTCCCATCTTGCTCAATTCATTTGGCAGCAAGCATTTCATCTATTTAGGACAAAATCTCTTGATCCCACCTGGCTGGCCAGAGCTCTCTACAACTCAAAATGATCATCCTTAAAAGGTTTCTCCCTAATATCCAGTTCATTCTATAGGTGAACAGGATTAAAACAGTGTCTCATAATGAACTGGTATGAATTAAAACAAACCCACAAAGAAATATTGCTCTAAGTTGTTAAATGACCGTCTCCAACCTATCCTGAGTGGCGATTTAAACAGGAGAGAGGATAAATGTCATATTATTGATATGCAAGCACCTCCCCCCCCTCACCTATTAGGAATCCATAGATTTATGACAATAGGTTTCCCTGGGTGTAGTCCAAGCAGTTACACATCTGTGACAGTTTTGAAACGAAATCCATAGTTTTAAAGGAGGAGGAAAGTCAGGATCACCCTTACTCTAGGGTGTGTGATATGCCTGCTGGTTAAAGCAAAGCTATTTCTATTGGAAACCCACTTGGCCAGTACCTGGCAGGCAGTGAATGGTTTAATTCTCCAGAGGAATGGGGGGATATCAAGGACAGAGATCTGAAGACTGAAAGTATTCCCTTTGAAATGCAGCAACTTTGGTTCTTCCAGGAGTTGTCCACCTTGATGCCTTTCATCTGAAACCACTTCCTACAGGACAAGAAAAAGAAAAGAGGCACAACAATAAAGCACACAGTTTCCTCCACATTTTCCTCCCATAGATAGGTATGCTCCCTTCCAGGTGTCTCCCAGAAATAGGCAACAGTATGATGGACACGCACTAGTTTTATACCCTTCTATCTTTGCAAGGTCAGGGCTAAGGGCTACAGGCTGCTGAGAAACAAGTGTCTGGTCACAAAGAAACAATTGTTCTTCATTATTGTATGGTCAAGGCTTTTATATATACTGTCTTTAAAACTAGAAGACCTCCTTTGCCCCATGCAAACTGTAATACTGTTGAGTTTCCACCATTGTGTGAATTTCATCCTGCTATCATCATAATCAAGGGATATATTTGTATTTAACCTGACCCAGCATGCTATTTCAGGAGAAAGGGAAACACAGCCCCTCTCCACTATGGTTCCCTTGTTTGTAACCAACACAGGCATCAACCAATATGTATCCTTTAGCTCAAAATAAATGCAGAGTGCATGTATCATGTTTATTTGTAGTAGCATTCATGGAAGTTATGTCAAAAGGCCAAGAAAAAATAAGTAGTCAAGTCAGCTTCATCTCAGAAAAAAAAATCAAATTGCTGAGATAAGTATTCCTTTATCTTTTACTGAGAAATATTTATAATTATATCTCATATAAATACAATTCACATACATTCTAAGGAAACCATTTAATTGGTTCCAAATTTGTGGTGTTCAGAATCCTATCGATAAGACAAGTGAAATAACAGAACAGATAAGAACTGTACAAAATGTTAAACTACTGTGGGGCGGGGGCTGTGAGGTTCTCAGTGTTCCTGGAGATAAGAGATTTTCCTAAATCCTCATTTTAAAAATCACCATTAATTGACTTAAAATTTCCTTACAGAGCTAGGCTAAATAGGAAAACTGAAATCCTTTAATTATGGCCTATAATCTTCCCAGAGTCTAAAAAAGATTGTAAGAAGCAAGGCAGCTAGGCTTATAAATACAATAAAACTTACATTTCAATTATCAGCGAGTGAAAACAGCTTCAGAAGTTATCTTTCCCATCTCTTTCTGTGTATAGATTTAACATTAATAAAAATGTTTCTGAGAAGCAGCTTCCCAGCTTTTATCCTTCATGTACACATAAATTATTAATAGGCTGCCAGTGTCTTTTCTCAGGACTAAATCGGTCCATTCCAGTGTCATCTTCACCAGCTCTTCTGGGGTGGGAGGGGTGTGTCTTGGGGCCCGAAGCCAGCACTGAACTTTCTGCAGTGATGGAAAAGGTTCACATCTGTGTGTTCAAATATGGTATCCACTAGCCAGAGTGGTTAGAGTGACTAAGGAACTAAATGTTTGATTTTAATTAATTTAAATGTAGATATGCACATGTGGTTGGCAATTACTACCCTGGACCGGGCAGTACTAGGTCATTCATTATGTTGTGGGTCTAAGAGTTGGACATAATAACAGGGTGGCCAGTGTCTAATGAGGGCTGCAAACAGTGGAAGGAAAGAGGCAGGGTGGGAGGAAACAGAATTAATGCCAGATGCTGACTTTAGGTCTTTACAGATGCTGGTCTCTGTCCCCTCTTTGGAGATTTAATGAATGTCCAGGAGAGTGATGCCTGAGCTGGGCACTGGGTGGACAGAAGTGAAACACCAAGGAGCTCATAGTCTACAGAGAGCGTTAGAACAGTGAGCATATGAGTATAATATAGTATCTGAGTATTACAATATGTATATTCCCAAAGGTTAAGGCAAGAGAGAAGGTGCCTAACCCAGATGGGCAGAGGGGCCAGGGAATGAATCGGGAAATTAATAGAGGAAGTGACATTTGAACTGAACCTAGAAGTGAATATAGGGGCTACTCATGGGAAAGGGAGGGAGAGTGTATTCCAGACACTGAAAGGACTCTCCACAAAGGTATGCTGGGATAGAAGGTTACCGTGGACAGTGTATGGCTGGAGATGATGGAAAATAGAAGGTAGGAGCCAAGTCATGAATTCTCCCTTACCACACTAAGGACTTGTATTTTTGTTTAATGTCATTGAGTTTAAGGGAGCATGGGAATCTTCTGGGGGGTACATATACTGAAGACAGCACTCATTTTGTAAACCAAAAATGGAAGTCACAGGCGTCTAATCACATTTCTGTGTAGCCTTTGGCAAGTCACTTATCCTTAAGCTTCAGTTTTTCACTTGGGCTTATTTATAGCCAAACAAAATCATTAGCATGGTACCAGATGAACTTCTTTTTGCCATTCTAGTGCAAGATTAGAATCAGGGGCAAATATGAACTTTGCTTATTCAAATCATATTAAAGTCATGAAGTAACAACAGTGTTGACTTGTCAAAGTACTGATCTATTTGACTAGGCTCTCTGAGGTGTACCCTGTTCTTTAATGCCTGAAAGTACAGAGAAATAAACCAAGGTCAGGAGATGAAGAGGCTTGTTCAAGGTCATGCATTACTTGGTGTAGAGCTAGGTTACTTTAATATTTAAATATAATATTTAAAACAACATAGCATTATCCCACTTGAAGGGAATTTAAGGTGCTTAGTGATTTAAAACTTCATTATTTACAGAGGGAAACATGGACATGCACCCTCAGGAAAGTGATCTGCCTCTAGTCACAAGGGCCAGTGACAGAACCACTATATACAATACTTGTTCATGGTCTAGTATTTTACATTTTTATTTTATATTGGAATATAGTCAATTAACAATGTTGTGATAGTGGCTAGCAAAGGGACTCAGCCATACACATATCCATTCTCCCCCCACTCAACTCTGAGCAGAGTTCTCTGTGTTATATAGTAGATCCTTGTTGGTTATATGGTCTAGTACTTTTTCTGTTAGATTTCCCTGCATTTTCCTATACTATACTTGATTTTTTAAGAGTTATGTGAAGGTCAGATGGCTATTAACACTGTCCCATAAGTAATTTTTCATTGGTGTGAGACACATGTAAAGATGACCTAAGTCACTCTGTTTTTGCCCTGGGGTTATTTATACTATCTAAGCCATTCCTGAGATGCAGAATGGAGGATATTAACAATTTTTTAAATGGATGGGCTTAGTTGCTCAGCCATGCCTGACTGTTTCTGGCCCCATGGACTGTAGCCCACCTGGCTTCCTGTGCATGGAATTCTCCAGGCAAGAATACTTGAGTGGGTTGCCATTACCTTCTCCAGGGGATCTTCCCAAACCCCAGGAATCGAACTTTCATCTCTTGCATCTCCTTCATTGGCAGGTGGATTCTCTACCCCTAGCGCCACCTGGGAACCCATTTATTTTCATTTTTTAATTTTTTCCATTTATTTTTATTAGTTGGAGGCTAATTACTTTACAATATTGTAGTGGTTTTTGTCATACATTGACATGAATCAGCCATGGATTTACATGTATTCCCCATCCCGATCCCCCCTTAAAATGGATATCCATTTATAATTATCACTGAGGAAAATGATACCCCTTAAAGATTTCTGCTTTAGGGCCTCTATTTAAATACAACCATGATTTATGTTTGCTTTTGTTTTTTAGCTTGCTTACTTTAATCTCCACATATTGAACCCCTTAGTACGAACCAACTACATATAATTAAGCATCTTGTAGTCTTGTATAAAATATTAAGCAATTATAAGCTATTGTGTAACAAAACAATTATTAAAACAAAGAAGCCCAATAATGAACTAATCACTGTGTTGATGTATCTGTAAAGGCACACTGGCTTCAAAGCACAAGCTTTAAAACCCTCTCCAAATAGGAGAAATTGTACTTAACCCAGAATTCCCCATTTTATCCCTTTAACCTATATTGTGTTTTACTTGGCGGCTGGGCCTAGACATCTGTATTTTTAAATACTTCTCAGACAACGCCCATATCCAGCCAGGTTTGGGAATCAGTAGTACTAACAGCTGTACTGAGCTACTTCCGAGTCATTCACACGACAGAATTACCCCACGAGTGGAGTCTGATATCCATCTGATTCTTTCCTATCTGCCTCCTATATGACAAGGAGTTTTTGTTACATCTCTGGGGGGCTACTGTTAAATTGAGACCTGTGTTAATTAACTTAGAAAGTAGGGTCTGGCTGGTTGCTTGTATATAAAATGTAGCTAAAGGCTGTGGTTGGCGGTTTCTCTGCTTTCTCTAGTCCATCATTTCACATTGGGGGTTGCTAGTCATCCAGAGCTGGGAGCTGTGGCCAGGAGAAACTTGTGCTGTGGGTCTCACTGAGCCGTTTGTGTTGATTTAATGAGACAGGCAGCAATATTCAGGTGAGCTTCAGGGATACTAAAACAGGGAGGCTGAATTTACATATTTATGAGACAAAACTGTTTGAACTTAAGCACACACATACACATATGGAAATTATGTCGCTGTGGTGTTTTCCTTTAAATACTGTACGTGAACAATATTTCCCAAGGTTGCATTATTGATAAACACAAGAACTATATCTGGAGGAAATCCTTTGAAATTAGATTCTAAATCCACATTAATGCCAAGTAAGTAATGAGGACCAAGGGGTACTGCACAGGAGTGCTGGAAGCAACGGAGAAAAACGCTAGTTGTTTTTTCTTTTCTTTTTTATTCCCCCTAAGACATGGCAAGTGCTTAATTCCTTGCTTTCTCTATGTCAAGGTTTGTTTGAACTTGTGTACGTGGAGAGAGAGAGAGAGAGAGAGAGAGAGAGAACGTAATACAAACGCGATAACAGAAACTTAGGTCTTAGCATATAAAGCTTTGAAAATAAATCACCATTCTGCAACCTTTGGTTTGAATTCATCAAAAGCAGCAATGTCAAACACACAAACATAAAATTGCAGCTCTAATTATCACAGAAATACAGGAGCAGGAAGTCATTGGTCCCTTTCTCACCTTCGGGCAGAAGGCATTTGTTATTATTGTTATTATTTTTTAATAAAGCCTATCTGAGCGGATTTAATTTTCTATAGAGATGGTTTTAGATTTATTTAAAATATCTTCAAATATCTGGAACTAAATTAATTATGTCTTACCAAGGTACATGAGGTATTTTGTTTTTGTCATTCAAAGAAATTGCTATAAGGATACACATGAAATATCCTCAGCAAATGGGAAGCAAGCTTAGCAGCCTTGCAGGGGGCAGAGGAGAAGATGGTTGTTGCTTAGTTGCTAAGTCATGTCTGACTCCTTGCGACCCCATGGGCTGTATGTAGCTAGGCTCCTTGGTCCATGGCATTTCCCAGGCAGGAATACTGGAGTTGTTGCCATTTCCTTCTCCAGGGGATCTTCCCAACCTAGATTGAACCCCTGTCTTTTGCACTGGCAGGCAGATTCTTTACCACTGAGCTTCTGGGGAAGCCCCGAAGAGAAGGAGAGCCTGGCTGAAAATGAAGAGTGTGTGTTTGATTAAAATCCTCTAAAGGAATATTTTTTTTTTTTTTGGTGGGGCCACTATCTGGCCAGGTACCCACCTAGTTCTATGAGAACAGGAGAGTTGGGTTTAGAAGCTTCCCTTCTTCCAAGGATTTCCAGTAAGAGGGTGAGCATTTTCACAATTGGGGGACATAATGGATGGCATCACTAACTCAGTGGACACGAGTCTGAGCAAACTCCAGGAGACAGCGAAGGTCAGGGAAGCCTGGCATGCTGCAGTCCATGGGGTCGCAAACAGTTGGACATGACTTAGTGACTGGACAACAACAATTTCCCAGGGAGATGCAAGGGACGTGAAAATGCAACCATGCCCTTTAACGAGGTTTCCTTCTTGGTTACAAGCCCAGTTCTGGCCGGGCTCAGATTTTTTCACTTCTTTGAGCTATGAAAGATGCACTACAGTAAAGACAGTAAGTGTCACAGCCACGCTGGCCTCTCTTTCCAAATCATGACAAACATGTTCATTACAGTGATAACTGAGGCAAATTCCAGGGTAGGCAATTTCTGCAGAAATGCTTTATGAAAAAACTACCTGTGAATTTTGACTAAGAAGTTAGGGTTCTATTAGAGTTATAGCAGGTGACTCATCACTGCATACAAGATGCTCAGCTCACACCACTAAAGTTGGGGGGAGCTAATAATAATGTGTGAAGTCTTTTAGACTGTTGCTATGGCTTTCTTCAAGTGGAATTATTTTAATGGCTTTGTAATTATATATTTCCCTCTAACTAAATACCACACATGAAGTCATGAAAAATATGACATAGATGATTTGGGATACCAAGGTAGTTTAAATGAACTCAGGAAGAAGGTTGTGAACATGTTCTCTTAGCAAGATAAACAACCAAGAAGCAAGATTCCTTTCTTGCACAAAACTCAGACTAAGACCAGGCAGTGAATGGTTGTGTTCAGAAAAGCTACGAGTTATGTTTTAATCTTTCCAGATTCAGGCCAGAAACGTTATTCAGCCAAGCCTGGTGATCTCTCAGAACCCCAGGGGAAAAGCATGGCCTTTGCTGTTCATGACAGCTGTCACATACATCCTGTCAATAACAAGTACAACCCAACTCCACTCTAAAATCAGGTTTATTTGACATAATAGGAGAGAGAAGGAATCACTGGTAGTAAATAGATTCCGGCAAACGGGTCAGAGGTATCTCCACTGGAAAACATTTCTCTACAGCAAAACAGCAAAATTAAATAATTTTAGGAAGTCTCAATGAAATAAAGACATTTATATTCAATTAGAGGGAGCATGCCAGTTTCTCAAGCATTGATTAAAAAGGATCTGCTACCCACAGGAATGGATAGTGGTTTGAAAAGCTGTGGTTTGAGCTTCATTTTCATGATTCCCACGGCAATTCATCTGTGAACAGCTGAGCTGTTCTAGAATCTGGTAGCAATCAGTAGGAATGAAAATACATTATCCGCAAGTCACTTAGAAATTCCTTGGGCAAATGTCTAACTTGCTGGTATATGCATTAGCAGTGAGAGTGTTATTCAAAGCAAAATCCAAACCAGTTATGAGGTCTTAATTCCAACGTGGTTGTCATGAACAGATCCTCAGGGTAACCCTAGTTAGCAGTGGGTTACCCATGTGACACAGGAGATTGGAAATCTACCCCAGCCCTCCATGTTTACTGAGATTTCAAAATCTGCCTGAGTTACTAAACAACCAACTAGTGTGACGGTGCACTTTACAACTGCTCAGTGGTGGTAGTAACCTCAGTTAATTTTCTCTTTGAAGTGTAGCTGATTTACAATGTCAGGTTCATTTCTGCTGTGATGCATAGTTCTTCAGATATATACATAGATACATTCTTTTTTATAGTCTTCCCTATTGTGGTTTTAGGCTGCCCACTCCAGTATTCTTGGGCTTCCCTTGTGGCTCAGCTGGTAAAGAATCCACCTGCAATAAGGGAGACCTGGGTATGATCCCAGAGTTAGGAAGATCCCCTGGAAAAGCGAAAGGCTACCCACTCTGGTACTCTGGCCTGGAGAATTCCACGGACTATATAGTCCACGGGGTCAGAAAGAGTCGGACACAACTGAGCGACTTTCACTTTCTACTGTGATTTATCACAGGATATGGAATACAGTTTCCTGTGCCATACAGGCAGACCTTGTTGTTTATCCATCCTATATGTAATAGTTTGTGTCAGCTCATCCCAAACTCCTAATCTCTCCCCTCTCATCCCCCTGGCAGCCTCAAGTCTGTTCTCCTTGTCTGTTTCCGTTTCATAGATGAGGTCATTTGTGTTGTGTTTTTAGATTACACATATAAGTGATATCATATGTCAGTCGATTTTTGATTATTTAATGTCTGTTAGGTAATTTTATCTTGGAGAAATCCTCTTATTACAGGGTCTCAAAAGCAGAGAAAGAGTTTAAAATGGCATTCATAGGGTCAGGTTTAACTGCTTACGCTGATGTTCTTGACAAAATGGCACCCCTCATGAGAAAGTTCTCGTGAACAGTCAGATGCTGAAGCGCGCCCTTTATAATGGCCTGTGCTAGTTAAGAGAGGGAAAATGTGGGCACATAAGCTGCCACTGTGTCACCTTTACTGGTTTAAATTCAGGATTCAAGTCATCTTCTCTCTTCCATTGGTAAACATGAGATTTCCAGCTCAGTGTCTTAAAAGCTAGTTACTGAGGAAAAGCATAATGGGCTTAATGATTCAGAACTGGAATAGCTGGGACCTGGGATGAGGTGCATCAGGAGAGCTATGCTATTTATATACGGGCAGGGCTTACACAGGCACTTCTGCATTCTTTTTGCTGCTATTAATAAACCTGTGCTCTCTGAGAGGTGTTAATTCAAAAAGGATCATACGTGATTAAAAGGAGCAAAAATGGAAAGGAACCATCTCTGCCCTAATAAACTTAAAAATGAACAGACTGTGTGTTCAGGATGTCATGGCACTACCTATTGAGAGGGACGATTTATAATTGTTGTCCCTGAACTGTGACCTTCAGGTGATCCAACCACTCGTCTCATTGCTCAACCGCACACCAAATAACTCTTGTTCCTGTGGTTCATGCCATTCTCCTCTCTGGACATGGTATCCCTTCCTCTTTAGGTCTCAGATCTCCTTCCTCCAAGAAGGTTTCCAAAGGATCCTCAAAGACTTCTCTCTCACAACTGGGCCTCTCCTTCCTGAATTACGACTATCCTTCTAGTCAGTTTTCTCATTTAGCACACAATGTTGTGTGTTAGTTTACCCCTCCTCTCTTCTTGAGTGCCAAGTACCTCATCGGGCCTTCAGCACATCAATGGGCATGCAGTAACACAGATCTTGTTTTGAGACGGGTATCCCCATTGAGCCAGTGATGTGGGTTCATTGTCCAGACCCGCCCTTCGCAATCAGATTCTCTATTGACACCGATCTTTAGGAAACCCCATGTTCTCATGACACCACAAGAGGAACTAGAGAAAAGGCTGACCTGAAATGCCCAAGGGGTGTTGTCCACACAGTAGACCCTCAAGTTGTAGTCCAGAGAGTTACAGGACATGCAGCCAAAAACCGCCACCTTGAGCTGCTTCACGGCACAGTCTGTGATGGGCTCCCCGGTGAGGGCATACGTCCCAAAGCTGTCTAGGAGCACGTGACATGCAAAAGGGTCCAAAAGGCAGTAGCAGGATGTGGATTCATCCTCCACCGACATCACTTCCTGTCGGGAAAAGACGTCTTGAATTCTCTCAGCTTGGGAAACACAATGTAATTTAACAGTCACTTTGCAAGGATATAACATCTTCTTTCCAGAATATTTTTATTGAACTCATTTTCTTGGTGTTAAATGTTTTTCTTTTATCAAAATAACTGCTGACATCAGGAGCTGAAGGAACGGCTATATTCAGTGTAGAGTTGGAATTCGATTTAGTAGGTTATAACAAACATCACTTCAAAGCTCTACAATTTTCGGTTAATTTGTTCAAGGCCAAATTAAAAAAAAAAAAACAAAAACAGCCTTGAACCTTAACATCAATGAGAAAATTTTATGTTTTTTATAAAGGTCTATTTCTGAAAACCTCTTCCAATATCCTTAAGGTAATGTTTACTTTCTTTCAAATATTTTATCCTCTTTTTACTCCATCAAAATCATGCATGAGGGACCATCCAATAAGTGGTTTGAATAAGATGTATCAGAGTATTTCACCCTCCCTTCTAAGGTATGTGTGACCGATTTGATAGAGAGTAAATCTAACACCATCTGGATATAAATGACTGTGAGGAAGTGCTGGGAAGGAAAACTAATGTGGTAAAAATCCAGGCAAAGCAAGATGTAATGAAAAAGAGCTCCAAATCTGGCCCCTTTATGAAACCTATGGAACCTCACACCCCTGGAAATTCCCCTGTGGTTGTATCACAACTGAATAAATAGCAGAATGCATTTTCAACAAAGAAGAGGGACTAGTTTCAAGACAGAGCTGGGCAGGGTAACTGTAGCCCACTGAAGCAACTGGGAATTTTCCTCTAAAGAAACATGATTTTCCTTTTACTTCCGTCTCCTGAAGCATCTCCTGGGAGGTAAGATCCCAGGGCTAGCTGGAACAGGTCATTGTGTTCCAACAAGATAATTCATCTGCTTTCAGGCAAACTGACCCCAGACAGACATCAAAGGAATCCCCATCAGACAGATAAATCAGGTTTCGCTTAAAATAGCCAGCCCCCTGCAATCTTTCTTTGTCGTGACTGGCTGTCATCCTTACTTTGCTCTTGTGGATTCTGAGTTTGTCTCCTTCCTTCTCTCCTTGTACTGTTTCTTATATGCATTCACATACACAGGGAAAGACAGAATGATTTTCAAGGCCTTCATTAATTCAGTCACATCTACCTAGCAGCTACTCTGTTCCTGAATACTTCCATATAACTTTGTTACAATTTTGGCAAAACCTGATAGTGATTCCTTTTATGAATACAGCTGGCTTACCCTGGGCCTCTTCCCTAATTCCCACAGAAGCCACAGGGAAAGTCAGCTGGGGCAGGGAAATGGCCTGGGAACCAAAGCAGAAGTCACGGTCTCACGTACAAAAGGCAGGTGCACAAGGGTACGTGCCTGTGGGGGTGATTACAACTGTATTCTGAAATCAAAAGAAAAAGCTTCATATCCTCTCTGGCTTCTTTTCCCCATTATGACACCCGTGACACACACAGCTAGCCAATACCTTAAGGATGCTGTAAATACTGGCCACCAACCCCCTGAAAAACAAGCAAATGCTCACCAATTTCATAGCTGGCTTGTGTGAAGAGAAGGGAAAGTTAATTTCATTCCACAGGTGGAACCTAAGCCCTGTTTTTTTTTTTTTAAAGCTTTTTATTTTATAGTGGAGTAGAGCCGATTAACAATATTGTGATAGCTTCAGGTGAGCAGTGAAGGGACTCAGCCATGCACGTATCCATTCTCGACCAGACCCCCCTCCCATCCAGGCTGCCATATAACATGGAGCAGAACTCCCTGTGCTATACGGTAGGTCCTTGTTGGGTATCCATTTTCCATATAGCGGTGTGTACACATGTATACACTGTGGACATCTACCGTCCATTCCAAACTCCCTACAGCTGTATTTTTTTTTTAAGGAAGGCTCTCGGGTCTCACCTCCCAGTTGCCCTGCTGGGTCCTCTTCTTTAAATGGATGTTCCAGTGCTCAGAGCTGACATCCGCACAGTGTGGGATGGTCAGGGCGAAGGGAGTGGTGACGATCATGTCGGGGGGGCCACAGGTGACTTCCGGACTCAGGAGCACCTCGGATCCATCCGACTGGAGGCTGTACGGTTGGGAAAGAATAAAAGAGAAACATGTAAAGGAGTTGGGGGGGTGCATATCTGGACGAGAATTTAGTTACAGGGGTTATTAGCAAAATCCTTTCTGGGACACCCTTCTGAGGAACACCTCCTCCTGGGGGGCGCCTGGGCAGGACTACAGACATCTGTTCTGAACCACTCAAGCATACAGACTGAGGGTGAGCCTAGATTTCATATCTAGGTTTTGAGAAACAAAATGACAAATGCTTCTTCAGAAAGACAGGGCAGAGCAGTAGAAAGAAAAGACCTAGCTGGCATGTCACACACCAGCTGCTGAATCCTTTTTCTTGTTGATAATATTATCAATGACCAAAGCCAAAATTGTCATAGAAATGACCAATCTGGTAATCCCAAGAACACATCATACAAATACGTTTAATGCTAGTCAGCAAAACAAATTACTTTTGTAAACAAAGCAACATTTCAAATGAATCCGGACTGAATGTCTCTTCTGGTTTTGAAAACATTTATTTTCTGCCAATGTGCAAATACACAAGTTTTATAGTGATAGCACAGTAGACAGTTATAAACTGCATAATCAAATACATGAAGATATATCTTTCATCTTTTTCCTATTTTAGCTATAAATTTAAAATCATTCTACCTAAACCTGGTGTTTAGATTTTCCTGTATTGTGAATAATTTACAACGAAAAGGCACAGCCATGAAACAGATCAAAGAAATCTGACTAAAAGGAAATAATACCACCTGACTGAATGCCTTCCTGTTCCATTTTTGTGGCTTTTGTTTTTAATCTCTGCCCTTAAACAGTAAGATGGGGTGGGTTATAGGACAGCAATCAATGAGAACCCAGAAGTCTACCCATTTTCCCCAACCACTAGGTGTTTTAGAAAAATCGAGTTGGTTTTTTTTTTCTCGGTATTTTCACTTGTAAGAAATATACTGATTCAGAATATAGTCTGTAAAGCAATTCAGGAATCTCAGATGAACAATGCGACATGAGAGCTAGGATTGATATTATTGCCTAAGTTTTCTCTCATCTCACCGAGGAAGGGCATTTAAGAATGTCATCCCTGACCAAAAGAGCTGGATGAAGTTAGTACTAAAAGATACTACCTTTTCTGTGGTCTTGTATAAACAACCAGGTTTTCCACGAGCACATCTAACATGTTAATTTCTGAATTGCTTTTGTTGACACTGCTTGTTTGCTTCTCTGGTTGGTCATGGTCACCCTTTAGCTCATCATCTATAATTTGCTGCTGCGACAAAAGTCAAGGTAGATAAGCAAGGAGGAGCATCTCATATCTCCAGTACCTGAAGCAGACCTGAACATGATCACAGGGTCTTCCTCCACAAGAAGCTGCCTTCCCCAAAGTCAGCCTTCCACGTAGGCAGCCAACTTATCAGCTCTTCCTTTCCAGGCAAAGCATAGGCAAAATGGAAAATATGCCTTTTATGCATTTACGTCTCTAAGTAGGGCAGGCCAAGATGGGGTGGGGGGTGGTGGTGGGGGGTGGGTCTGGAAAGTCAGGTTTTAGTAATCACGAATGTTCTGTGAACAGCCTAGAATGCTCTGTTTGAGGTTTGAATTGAATGTGAGGAGGGCTCTAGCCAGCACGAGGCAGCAGTCTGCACGTGGATGCCTGCCAGCGGCCTTTAGAACATTTTCTGGGTAATTGCTGCTTGCATCCTCACAGACAGGGATAGCTGGTGTGCATATGAGTGACCAAGGACAAGCTCCTAAAAGAACTTTAATAGCTTTCAGAGAAGCATTCCCCCTTGTTGAACATATTGTTCAAACACATGGGAATTGGGGGAATTATTTAATGCCAAATGAACTGAAAGCAGCTCATTAGATGAACTCTCACACTTGTGAATAGAAAGCACCTTTCAGTAATAACTTAAAACATCATTAGGAGTTGGAGGGGGGGGTGCACGTAGACACCTAGGTGGGACGTGGGATGGGACTTCGTGTTAAGCAGACATTGGACATTTCTGGAAGCGCAAAGGAAATAAAACTTCTGTCTAATTCTCCTACTGTGAAAATAGTGTCTGTGTGTGTAGGTCTGTCTCTGCTGAAGGAACAAAACTTAATCTCTCCGTTTTTTTCCCCCTGTGATTAATAACGATTTGCCCTTTTCTGTCACCTTCTATCTGGGGCAATGAGGGAGATTTACAAATATTAATTAAAGCACTCCACACAACTGTGTGCGCAGGTATTAACAACATAAGGTCACAGGCAGTCAAAGAGATGGTGGCAAAGTCACCCCAGATTTCTGACTTCGGAGCTTCTGAGCCCTGTGGCCAGATGCACTGTGTTTCTCTGTTGGTGCTAGGAGATGGCTGGCCCTCTGTCCCAAATGAAGATGCAGGAAAAAATGTTATCCAAGTAGAGTCATGGATACAGACCTAGGACATCTGGGGGCAACAGGGCTGAGGGAAGAAGCTCATAACTGGGCAAAACCAAAGATTTGTAAGGCAAGTGTGGATGGCATTTAAGCTTGCCCACATCATATTGAGTTCAGCAAAGTCCGTTTGGGTTTTTCCATAAGTTTATGGGAAACCCCATGAACTTTTCGGCCAATCCAGTATTACGTACACCAACGAAGTATTTATGCTCTTGCTAGGGGTTAAAAAAAGGGCAACATATTCTTCTAAAATTGCTGTGAGCTCCTAATAAGTGGGAACTAATGACAGCAGTGATTTTCTGGACCATAATATGAACAGCCTCTCTGTGCCTCACACACACTCGCATATGAAAAGTCTGGTTGTATGAGATGTTTGCTATTTAACTTTTTCATTTTGTTACCAGCCCCCGCCTTTTCTCTCTCTATATGCTGTACATGTTTATGAATGCTGATATAAAAAGATCCATAATTTAAGAGCCAGGTCTGTGTAAGCAGGTGGCTTTATTGATCCACTGTATGGAAACATGGTTGTGAATTCAAATTTCTGCTCTTGCAGTGCAGCTGAGAGTTCTGGGGAAAATTTTGCCATCTCTTTAGCTGTGATGTCCCTAACCACTGAATAAATACACTTGGCAGGAGAGGCTGCTAGTAAAGGGCATGGGGCCTCTTGTCTGGAAGTGTGGCAAGACAGAAAGCCCCTCATGGCTAACCCTGGTGAGTTACCAGCGAGAGAACTGAGAGTAGCAGAGGAGCCGCAGAGAACACAGAAGTAGCGGAAAAGAACTTGATCGTGTCCTTTCTGTGGGCTTCACGGCACTGTCTCTGATACCACATCCCTCCACTGACCTTTTCTGTGTCAAGAAAACCAGATAGGGTGGAAGAAGGGAAAGCCCTGTGGAGCCTCACTTGCCTCCCATAACACATAACCTCTACTCGAGGACTTCCCTGGGAGTTCAGTGGTTAAGACTCTGCACTTCCAATGCAAAGGTTGTGGGTTCGATCCCTGGTCAGAGAACTTAAGATCCTGCATGATGTACAATATGGACAAAATATACACACACACACTCTAAGATTGTTCTGGAGTTAAAAGAAGTAAAGCCTAAAAAGCACCTAGTATGTGCTCCATGCAGGAGGGTTCTGCTTCTCAATCCTCAATTCCCATCTCTCCTGCCTTTTTATGAGTCTTATTTCTACAGCAGCTGTGCTTTTGGATGGCTGCTTTATTTAATGTGTGCATGCATGCTCAGTCATATCTGATTCTTTGCAACCCCATGGACTATAGCCCACCAGGCTCCTCTGTCCATGGGATTTTTCCTGGCAAGGATACTGAAGTGGATTGCCATTTCCTACTCCAAACTTATATTCAATAGATTGCCCTTACCTCAACACACGTGCTTTAAGGGGATTTCCAGTGCCTTAGGATGAATACTATGGGAATTGAAGGCACCTTGGCAGTGCTTTCGTATTTCCATCACGGTCACTTCTCAACTCAGCAGTCAGAGGAATCCCACTGAAAATGCCAACATCTTGCCCTCTTCCCCCCACTTAAGGAACAGTAGCTTTTCTCCTGCTCTGGAATCTTCCTTCAGATGTCCCCACAACTCACTCCCTCATGCCCCACAGATCTTTGCTCCCTTTCCTTCGATAACTAACAAGGCATTTCCCAAGTCATGCCTGAGCGATGTCACTGCAACATTCTCACCCTAAAAGCTGATCTTTGTTTTCCTTTTATTTCATACTTATTGCCTTCCAATGCCCAATATAGGCCACAAGTACTCAAAATAATTACGAAGAAAGCATAGGAACCAGTGGTTTCCAGTGACCAAGTCTGGAACATTTTTGGCATCAAAGTGAATAATGGGAGTAAAGGATGATAACCCATTGAATAAAATAAGGAACCAGGAAAGATACAGTTATAAATGGGAAGGGAAAAACTCTTCTATCCAGTAGCAAACAACCATGTTGTGTTGGTCGCTCAGTCATAGCCCACCAGGCTCCTCTGTCTATGGAATTCTCCAGACAAGAATACTGGAGTGGGAAGCCATTCCCTTCTCCAGGGGATTCTTCCCAACACAGGGATTGAACCCAGATCTGCACTGCAGGCATATTCTTTATCACCTGAGCCACCAGGGAAGTCCATGCAATAAGAAGTCAACTAATAAGCGTAGAAAGTCACAATTTGACAACTAATCATATTAATAATTGACTCAGTTAAGGATTATGAATAGGATGCTATATACTCTGGTGAAAGCTTGAAGAATAAGAGACTATTTGCATGGCTTCAAAGTATCTTTCCACAAGGTACTTATTAATTACAAAGGATCGACATGACTTTGTACTTGAGAACCTTGGCAGATACCACCTAACCCAAGTTCTCAGTTAATCTTGCCAGTAAAGGGATTAATTTTCAGAACATACTTCTTGATAGGAAAAAGCAAAAGGAACTCAGCATCACTTCTGTAACATTCCAACCAATAATACTTATACTGACACTAATCATAAGAACTTATTAGACAAATATCAGCCCAACTTAAAGGATATTTACAAAGTAACTGATCTGCACTCTTGAAAACCGTCAATATAATGAACTAGCA